CTTAGTCAAGTAGATACAAGAGACCAAAGGGGCAGCTTCTGTCCGGAGGTGAGATGGGAAGGCAGAGAGATTTAGGAGCTGGTTGAATGGTCATGGGGAATCAGGGGCGGAAAGGAGGAGTGTGCTGTCGCAGAATGGGGTGAGCAATTACGGTCTCATAACAATGTATGCAAAAAAAATTTTGTATGGGAGACTAACTTGAAATGTAAACTTCATTTAATTACAACAACAACAACAAAAGAAAAAAGAACTACATACAAGTATCTGGGAAAATCAGATGAGGGTTACTGGTCTCCCTTTTAAGACTTACTTAAGGCATGAATTAGCCCATTTCTTCACCATGCCTTGGACATAGGCTTGTACCCATATGGCTTGCCTTTACATTGAGGGGAACCACTGCTAATCCTTATTAAGGAAACATAATGTCTTGCTTATCCTGTGTCCCAGTCACTAACAAATAGACAAAAAATAATGTGGTTTGGCTCAGAAATTGACTGTGCATAAGTACGGATTTTCTTTGTCTGGTAACAACATGGCTAACAAAGAAATCCAGAGAAATATGCTTATCTCACATGTTTCAGACACCTGGGAGAAGAGTGCTCTGCCTCATGGTGGGGACAAGTCTTTGGAACAAAGTAACTGAACAAAATTTTTGTTCAAGGAGAAAAATCTGGTGGAATATAGAGGGAGAGGGTCAAAGAAGATGAACTGCTATTAAATTCTCTTAAATGTTCTCCTAAATATGAAAGAACATTGCTATTTGAAATATGCTTGTGGATAAATAATATGTTTATGTATACATACATAGCAATATAATGTCTAACACAATATTACTATATGTGCACATATATATAACATAAAAAGAGAACACTGTATGATTGATCTTTGTAAAATAAGCGTAAGCTTGTAATATTTATAATTTCTGAATTCAAACCATTAAAAGTAAATAATCATTAATTTTTCAGAAAGAATAAATAAGACCTTTGTAAACCAACTAACAATAAACTTTTGGCTTAGTCTTCTGAAGTCTATTATTAATCCAATTTCCTTCAGTCACAGAATATTATGATTAATAATCCAGTAAGACTAATCCTTAACAAATATTTATTGATCATCTATTATGTGCCAAGCACTGTCAACAACCTGATAAATTAAATCGTCTTTTGTAATTTTGTTGTTAAAATTAATCACTTAATTGTTTAAGTCAGATGTTTTACCTTGATTTATAGTATTTCAGTCTTTAATAAACTAAAATTTGTCTTAAAATCCCAGGTCTTATACTTTAGAACAGAGATAACAGGTTCAGTCAAGACATTATCAAGTCAAAAAAATCTTATGTCAATCAATAAGTACTTACTCATTTAAAAATAATGCATTAAGGAAACTCTAAATCATGATTTTCTAACAGGTCTTTCCTGGTAAGAAAATTCAAATCTTTGTCCCCCGGAAAATGCTCACACACACATATACACACATACAAGAATGCTATGGGAAATATTTACATGTTCTTTTAAAAATTCTTATTTTTAAAATTGTTTCTAGTTTTAATTGTTCTCTCTGCCTGAAATGTTCTTTCCTCCTAGTCAGGGCTCTTTTTCTCCTCCAGGTCTCAGCCTAAAAAGGCTACCTCCTTAGACAGGCCTTCATGACTATCTGTCTTTGGGTACTCCCTTGCCTTTCTCTCCCATTAACCCTGGACACCACTAAGTATATACTGTTGGTTTCCTTCATATAATTTGCCCCAGTTAATAATTACACATTGTTTATTTATTCCCGTGTATATTGTCTATCTCCCCCATGAGACAGGCCCTATGTCTATTTATTCACTCATATACTGGCCAAAGGTGGGTGCTCAACATAAATTATGGACTGAATAAATGAATGAATGGATGAATAACTTCATCCCTCTTTGAGGCTCTAGCTAATTCCTTTTTCATGGCTCAGACTAACTTTTAAGAAGTGTTTTTTTTTTTTTTTTTTTTTGCTATATATATTCATCATTCATTGTGGTTTGTGTACATTTTTAAGTCCAATCCTATAAAAGAGAAGAAGGGTAGACTTCCTAAAACCACTTTTTCATACTCCCAGGATTTTCAAGATAGTGGAAATAACTTTTAGTAATCTCAGCTCCTTGGTTATATACATCACAAAGCAAAAGTTCAGGTAAAGTGCAAGTCCTACTTGGAAGAAAAGTTCTGCTCACAGGGACATCCTTTGGCAAAACAAAACCATTTAAAAAGCTCCTCTATCCTACGATTTGAAAAGGTTAATCTGCTGTTTAGTATTAAGAAGACTTAGTTAATATCACTCTAATGTGTCATAATACTGAGGCAGTCTAGGTCAAAAGGGTGTGGGAACATCTTACCTGGAGTCCTTTCTGACTCTTGCTTTCTCAAAGGAAAATTCAGGGGGTTTGTTGAGGTCATAGGTTCGGGTTGTTGGCTCAGCTGACACCCCAGCCTTTGCTCCCCTCCGGCTATGGAGAGAGACCAACTCTGAGGTCTTCCGGTGGACCTCAAGAGGCACTTTATCTGGAGAGGCCTGAGGCAGGCTTCCTCCCTGAATATGTACCACATCCTGAAGCTTGTTCAGCTGGATGCATTTGTTCTGGAGCTCCTCAGTGAGCTCAGCAATGGCCACAGTCTGCTTCGACAGCTGTTCCCGCAGCTCCTTCAGATGGTACTCTCGCTCCTGGATCTCAGCATCCTTCCTCCTCAGTTCTCTCTCCAGCTCTGTCACCTTGCTCCGCAGGGCATCGGCTGTGAAGTTTCCCAAGCGGCCATCTGGATGCTTAGAATGCTTGGGTTTCACTGAACCATTTCCCATTTTGCTCAGGGACCTGAGGAGAGCACAGAATTGGGAATTACCTGTTGGAATTTCATTTTCCAACAGCCCCCCTACCCCACCACCCCTCTCATCCAATCTCTTCCATAAATAAAAACACAGCAGCCATCATTGGTTTGATAAGGAAGAAATTCCCCATGCTTCCAGAAGGAAAGCTATGGATTGATTTCCTTCATCCCTCCATGAAGAAGAGTTGGTCCTTGGGTTCATTCTTCCCCATCCCTTTGCCACCACAAGTACCACACCTAAGCATTTTGCACGAATGGTCTGTGTTACCTGCTGTTCTCTCTGGTCATTGTCTCCGGACAGCTATCAAAAGTATCGCAACAGAACTGCGATTTGGATGTGAGCATCGCAAAGATAAAGCGCAAATAAGCAGCTACTACAGCAGCAGAAGCTTGGAAATGTCACAACTCTCATAGCTCCCTGTGAGGCTACAGAAAGAAATCTTTCCCTGATTTAGAAAATAACACATCTGCATTTCTCAGGAGGAAGAGAAAGAGCTGGTGTTGTTTTATTAGCAGTTTTCCCCGGCCGTATGTACCCATCATGTTTTGCATTTCTGACAAAGCTCACTGTTAAGAACTCCTGAATCGTAGTCACTAGAAGGTAAAATAGAGGTATAGGAATTCTTCTACGTCCTTTACTTTATATCCTAAGACAAAAATGACGACATACTGTGCAAGCCTTTATTCTTTTCCTATCAATATCCTCGGTGTAGGAGCCACAGAACTCACTAATCCAGAGAGTTTCAGGATGTGCTATGCAGATCAGGGATGAGAAGGGATGATTTTAGTTTACTCAGAAATATTTTTTTAGTTCAATAGCAATATATTTATTTCAACATTTATTAGAACTATAATTAATTGGCACCACAAAGCTGTGATTTCTCTGACAAAATCACTTAAATGGAGGTGAAACTAAGTATTTAGGTTTACTGAGTCAATTTAATAAAAACAGAAAATAGATCATCTGCAAATATGAGAAAAATCATAAAGCTAGAACTCAAATTGGTGAAGTTTGGGAAAAACTTTTTTGGGCCATCTATTTAAACTCCACACTTATGCATGTGCAATTTTTGACAGCCATAACCCGAAAAGTATTATAACATCTGTAAACTTCTCATTATCTAAAATCAGAAGAGCTAGATAAAGCTTTTGAAGTTATATAATCCACACTCCTTGCCCCCTCCCTCCAAATTTCAAACTCATTGAGAAACGAAATACTTCGACTGATTTCACCAGCTCTACCAGGATAATTGTGACCTCTACAATGACAAAGGCATAGCTGTAAAGATGCTGAAACCTTTAAGTTTCAACCCATTGCAAACAAATAGCCAATGCAGGTCACCTAAAATGGATGGTACAAACAGAAAATAAATGTACTTATAAGGGTAGTATTGCAACTCCCAGACATTCCTTATAGAATCCAGGTTCTATGTAGACATTAATAAACATTAGTCTCCAGAGAATTGTCTTAATATGTCACAGATATCTGGCAGGTTTAACCTTTAACTTTCTGTTGACTTGGCAAGACTTATTATTCTTACATATTAAGAATATTGTTCTGCATCCCACTTTAGACAGTAGCGTCTGGGGTCTTAAAAGCTAGCGAGCGGCCATCTAAAATGCATCAGTTGGTCCCAACCCACCTGGAGTAAAGGAGAATGAAGAATACAATGGACACAAGGAAAGTATTAGCCCAAGAGACAGAAAGGACCACATAAACCAGAGACTTCGTCAGCCTGAGACCAAAAGAACTAAACGGTGCCCAGCTACACAATGACCGCCCTGACAGGGAACACAACAGAGAGTATCTGATGGAGCAGGAGAAAAGTGGAGTACAGAACTCAAATTCTAGTAAAAAAGACTAGACTTAATGATTTGATTGAGACTGGAGGGACCCTAGAAGATGTGGCCCCTGGGCTCTCTGTTAGCCCAAAACCAAGGCCAACTCTTCAGACAAAGATTAGACTGGGCTATGGGACATAAAATGATACTCATGAAGAGTGTGCTTCTTAGCTCAAGTAGATACATGAGACTTAAATGGGCAGCTCTTGTCCAGAGGCGAGATGAGAAGGCAGAGAGGGTCAGGAGCTGGTTGAATGGACATGGGAAATCCGGGTGGAAAGGAAGAGTGTGGTGTCACAGTATAGGGAGAGCAAGCAGGGTTACTTGAATTGTAAACTTTCACTTAAAGCACAATTAAAAAAAAAAAAGATATATAAGAATGTTGCAGACACTAGAATTCAAAGAAGTGGCCCTGGACATCCTTGTATCTCAAATATGAATTCAGAACATGTTAGACAGGGACCGAAAAATAATCCTGACTAAGATTCTGAAATAGAGGCGTGAGGAGTGCCTCCAATGGTATCTTAAATTAACGTGTGTTCAAGTTTTTAAAATGCAGCAGTGAGCCATCTTTTAGATGGGCTTTTTGGTTCATGGACAAGCATTCCTAGGACAAAGGGGGAGTTAGGAGAGGAGAAGGAATTGCCTTATAAAGAACAAAAACAAGCACAAAAGTTGGAAATTAAATATTAAACTAACAACTTATTCTTTATTTATGGAACAATTGCTTACTAATACCTACTAAGTGTCATGCATTATGTCAGGGGCATATCCGTTTATGGATCTGAAGTCAACTTTGACACACAAAATCGTTTAGCATTCTAAGTCTGAAATCATTTTTGCTCTATATGCAGTATTCAAACACGCTGCTCCAATCCAATTATTTTATAAACCTGAAGCACAATTAGATGGTGAATGTTAAATTCCCCCAAAACGCCAACTATTCTCTGGTTTTAATGAAGTCAGTTTAGAAGCTGTATAAATCTTTCAAGCTCTTCAGAATTCCAAAGAAGGGTGAAAAGAGAGTAGCTACCTCATCTTTCAAGTCATTAATTTAAGACATGCAAGTAAGTTACATACTAGTCAGATTTCTCAGCTAGTTAGTTCGCTCTTTTACATGTTGTTTTCAAGGCTGAAATCTCTGGCCTCATAAAACTTTATTAGCGTCACTAAGATAAACTGTGCCTCAAATCTGTATTGCTGGCCACAAGAACTGAACCACAGGATGTTGTTCCATCAATCTAGCAACTATAGGTTATTCAAAGCATTCTTATATTCAGAGGGAAGCTCATGATGTAATAAGAAATAAGCGGGGAGAAAAAGGCCAGGATTTACCTATAAGCAAGAGAGTCAGGCCAGTCAGCGTAAGAAAACAATTTGCCCTTTTCCGGCTGCGGAACCGTCTATAAATTTCTGAGAAGCACTGATCTTGAATTAAAATAGATATAATTATATCCATCTCATAGGGTTATTATGAGGATTATGTTTATAAAGATGAGGCATTGTTGGTTCAGTGCTAGAATTCTTACCTTCCATGCGGGAGACATAGGTTTGATCCTGGCCAGTGCACCTCAAGCACAGCCACCACCTGTCTGTCAGTACAGGCTTGTGTGTTTCTATGATGCTGAACAGGTTTCAGAGGAATTTTCAGTCTAAGACAGACTAAGAAGAAAGGCCTGGTGATCTTCTTCTGAAAATCAGCCCTATCGATCACAGTGGTCTGATATCCAACTGATCATGAGGATGGCACATGACTGGGCAGAATTTAGTTCTGTTGTGCATGGGGTTGCCATGAATCAGGGGCCAACTGGATGGCAACTAACAACAATAACATTTATAAGGTAACCAGCATCAAATAAATGCAGTTGTTGTGTGTCATGGAATTGATTCCAACTCATAGCAACCCTGTAGGGTGAAGTAAAACTGCCCCATAGGGCTTACTAGGCTGAGAGCAGATTGCCGGGTCTTTTCTCCTGAAAAGCCTCTGGTGAGTTGGAATTGCTAACCTTTCGGGTAGCAGCCAGGTGCTTAACCATTGTTCCAGCAGGGCTCCTCATCAAGTAACTGTTATTACAGTACGTGACTAGAGATAAGGCACTTGATGTCTTACTGTAAGGAAATGCCCAGAGAGGATCATTTCTGGGTGGGGCAAACATCTAGTACACTGGATGTCTTCTACACAAGAGGTCTTTAGAGATACAGACTATTCCCCTGAGGAGATAAAAAAATCTTACTCTGCGTGGATTACATCTTCCATTAGGAAAAGAAGTCATCCAGAAGCAAACAGCCTGGAAACCTCCCATGTAAAGGATGTACCACAAAAAGACAAAGCTCATGAATGACACAGCGCAAGTTCCAGGACTGCAAGGACTACTCAAGCTTTGTACTTCCCTCAGGTAGCCCCCAATCTATTGCCACGTTACCGAAAATCCTTAAACCGAAAGGGCCTGCCGAATTACCTTTGAAGAAGCTCTGGTGTTGTGAACCGTTAAGCGCTTGTCTGCTAAAGGAAAGGTTGGCGGTTTGAACCCACCCAGCAGCTCCCAGGAAAAAGACCTGGCAATCTGCTTCCATAAAGATTACAGCCAAGAAAACCCTATGGGGCAGTTCTACTCTGTCACATGGGGTCGCTATGAGTCAGAATTAATTCCACAGCACTTAACAACAACAACAAAAACTACCTTTGAAGGCAACCAAAAAACATGGTTTATTGGGAAGTCGATCCTCTTCTCAGAGCCAGTGACAGGAGAGAGGAATAAAGTGGGTACTGTCATTTAGCAGGAAAAAATGAAAACTATGTAATAATGTAAATGATTATGATTACATTTATTTGAATACCATTTAGGAAATGTCTACCAAGAGAAAACGAGAAGGAACACAGGAAAAGGGCAACTGACTGAGAAAACTCTTACAAGGCAGATGAACACCTGCAAGCCAATCTGGGAGAAATCTGGCTGTGTTGTCTGTTTTTCTTCCAGCTCTAAAGTAGTTTGAAACCAAAATCTTGGCTCCGGTCTAGATAATATCTATTTCTCTCTCTGCCCATCTGGAGTCTGATATAAATACACATACACACACAAACACACACACACACAAGCATGTATGTCTGTGTTTGTATATGTGTATAGATACACATACATTTCTA